AACTATGAATTTGTTTGTTGTGTTTGTGTTTTTGTTGTGTTTATGTGTTTGTGTGTTTGTTGTGTTTGGGTGTTTGTTGTGTTTGTTATGTTTGTGTTTGTTTGTTTGTTTGTGTGTTTGTTGTGTTTGTTTTGTTAATTGTGTTTGTGTGTTTGTTGTGTCTGTTGTGTTTGTGTGTTTGTTGTGTTTGTGTCTTTGTTGTGTTTGTGTGTTTGTTGTGTCTGTTGTGTTTGTGTGTTTGTTGTGTTTGTTTTGTTAATTGTGTTTGTGTGTTTTTTGTGGTTGTTATGTTTGTGTGTTAGCTGTGTTAGTTGTGTGTGTCTGTTGTGTGTCTTTTGTGTTTGTGTGTCTGTTGTGTGTTCAGACTCACCTCTGCTGCCATTTTCGTCGTCCTGCAAAGAAACACAGAAAAGAGCCGTCAGGGGGTCTGGATCTACTAAGGGGTTCATTAGGAGATCTATTAGGAGATCTATTAAGGGGTCCATTCTGAGATCTAATAGGAGCTCTATTAACGGGTCCGTTAGGAGATCTACTGGAGGCTCCATTAGGATATCTATTAGGGGGTCCAATAGGACATCTATTAAGAGATCTATTAGGGGCTTCATTAGGAGATCTATTAGGAGATCTACTAGGGGGTCCATTAGGAGAGCTATTAGGGGCTTCATTAGGAGATCTATTAGGAGATCTATTAAGGGGTCCATTCTGAGATCTATTAGGGGTTCCATTAGCTGATGTATTAAGGGGTCCATTAGGAGATCTATTAAGGGGTTCAATAGGAGATCTATTAGGAGGTCCATTAGGTGATCTATTAGGAGATCTACTAGGGGGTCCATTAGGAGATCTATTAGGGGGTCCATAAGGATATCTATAAGGAGATCTATTAAGGGGTCCATTCTGAGATCTATAAGGGGGATAATTAGGAGATCTATTAGGAGATCTATGAATGGGTCCATTAAGAGATCTATTTGGGGTCTATTAGGAGATCTAATAGGAAATCTATTAGGGGGTCACTTGCTTACAGCTGAGAAGAAACGAGTAATGAAGAGTTTTGTTTTTATTCTGTAGGGGAGTGATTTGATAGGTAGGGGGGGGGGGGGGGGGGGGGGTGGGGGGCACAAGTCCAAGTCCACAAACACAGCAAAGCTCCTCCAGAGATCTACTCAGATCCACCAATAAAGCAGAGACTTAGGGAAAAAGCCACTTCTGAGCCATGTTTGTGTTTCCCCCCTCAGTCCCACACCCTCCGCCTCTAAT